TACACAAGACTGACGAATTCGTTCGTACACACCAGAATTTCCTCTAATCATCTGGCATGCATTCTGCACAGTTGCCATAGGTCGTCATTATTTTTTATGGGTATTGCATAAACGACGGACTTCAAGTGACCCCTCAGGTAAAACTCTAATGGAGTCAGGTCCGGTGACCTCGGTGGCCATGCTATTGGGCCACCACGCCTAATCCATCGCTGAGTGTACTGTTTATTGAGATGATATCTGACGCGATGGGAGAAGTGTACTGGGGCTCTGTCGTACATTTGTCTTCTTGTATTCAGTGGTACATCTTCAAGGAGACGTGACAAGTGTCTTCTTAAGAATCGCCGATATGAAGGTCCTCTTAGACGCGGTGGAAGCACGTGTGGACCAATAAGCATGTCACGAACAACGTCAAATGAGAGTTTTAGTGAAGTGATTAAATAAATAATTTTTTTTAAAATCAGGAAGTGAGAACAAAACGTCAAACGTCCCAGATGGACACGAGGCATTGAAATAATTTAAAGGCTGCAGAGACAGGGCCAGAAAATCCTTCGTCCTCAACATCTCAACATTTCCATTTTCAAAACTTTAAAGACTTTCTGCGGCCAGGAAATCCCAAAGCGTTATTTGTTCCACGCGTCTTCTCTGCTTTCAAAAGTGTGATGAAAGGCGGTATCGACTTCCGACGTAGGAAATTGGTTTTTTCGGGCAACTTGACATCAGGGCCTTTTCATAATGTATGAGCATTATGCTACTACGAAAATTTGCAGACTGGAGGAACAAAATGCTCGGCCTCTTGCCATAAATATGCCCTGCATATTCTACGCACCTTAATTGGACAAATCATATTGAATAACTGATAAGGAAGTTTAGCGAATCATATTACGCAGTTAGAACTTTATTGCACCTCAGCGAAAATGACATACTCAAACCAGTTTCAAACCCATTTTGTATTTAAGAGAAATTACAAGTAATTGAAGCAGCTTAAACATGTTTCACGTACTTACAGTCGTTCCAGAAATCGTCCAACTTGCGTTTCTAATTCAATCATCAGAACTTCACAATTAAAAGTTTTTGCGTCATTTTAGTTTTGCCTAAAGTACACGGCATCTACAGCAACAGTAATTAAATGAAAAAGATCACGTAATTATTTCACAAGTGCAATTTTACTGCATATTAATTGTGTCAGAAATTACTTGAACTTTGAAGAATACTCGAATCTGTGTTATTGGAATTAACTCATTCATGATATATGTATTATTTTATTTTATTTAGTGTTCTGTCTGACGACAGGTCCATATAAACAGGATCCTTTCATCCTTTTCTCGGACTGGGACCTGTTCATATATGTTTTTGGCAGATGATCCAGAAGTGGTTTGGCATTGCCTTCTTCTGTGTGTGAATGGGGTAATTGTTGGGATGCCACGGAGAAACCGGGGAAGTCCCCGGAGGAAAACTCCGTGTTGCCTAGACCACGGCCTTGCCCAACACAAGTTATAAATTCGGGCACCGCCGGGAATCGAACCCGAGACCCCAGGATTACAAGGCCAGCGTTCTAACCGCTAGACCACCGTGGCTGTACGATATAAGTATAATTGGAACTTTTGTTATGGTGTAGAGGTCTTTTGTACTTGAATTTCTTTACAAAACATGTTTCAGTCCAACACAATAAAGTTTTCGCCATCTTCGTGGTCTAGGAAAAATTAATGGATGTCGCGTTTTCCTCGTTCCTTCTGAACCGTTCTAAGGTTCAGGCCTTGGATGACCTCTGACGGCCAGCATTTGTACTGTGCTTGGTTGGTCACGAGAGGTTGATGATACCGTCAAGAAACCGTTCCAGCTAGCATAATCTCCATGTACCCTTACGTCATTATTAGCCAATTAGCTGTTCTTCCTCCCCCCTCTCTCTGTCTCTGGCTAGGGAAGATGCGTGATTAGGACTGACCTGGCTTTGGTCTTTCTCTTCCGGTTCGACGGTCATAATGAACAGACGTACGTAGAGTTATGTCTGGCACCAAAAATTGTGGAGGCCGTCAATTTTGGTTCAAACATAGCTTAGTACGTTCATTATGAATAGTCAACTGGATCTGCACCCTGTAAAATAGTTTATCTTCTTGTGTCATTATTTGTTATGAGTAAAAGAACTTGTAAGTATGTTGTGCTTGGTGTCGGGCGTGGCCCAGTGTGAAACATGTATGTATCATTATATGTCGACTAGTATTGTATTTGTTTTTATTGCAGATATTACTCTTTTGTTAGTGTGTAAATGGAAAAGAGTAATTGTGTGTTTTGGTGAATGTATCGCGTCTGTAGACTGTTGCATAAGGTAGTATGGGATGCCCTGTGCGAGGCTAGCAGCGCGATAAGACGGGGGAAACACCAGTTTGATCACGAGCTACTGCGTAGCGAAACACGTGATCCAAAGCTTATGCCTGGTAGTGAGGCTAGCAGCTCTCTTGCTCTCCTGGGGCGTGTGTCACGCCGAGAGAAGATGAGTGTTTGAATCCTTGTGCGGTTCAAACCGATGATTGATCAAAGGTTGGATCTTGGTCTTTCATGTTTCTGTTCGCGGACCATAAGGTAAATAAGGTCGCACAGAAAAGTAAGAAGCTTTGGAAAGAGCGTTGTAATGTACGCATCGTGTATTGTGAATTCACTGGGTGTTGGGTGTGTACGAGAGTTGTGTGTGTACGGATGTCTGTATTATTTCGTGTATGATGTTTGTGTTGAGGCTGGTCTGACTGCCGGGAGAAAACGTGCCATGGGGCACCTTGAGAGTTATTGGGAAGTTGCAAGTTTGAAATGTGTGAACACATTTAAAGCACTTCGTCAAATAACAAGTGTGACGTAGCGTAGTGTGGCTACGAGAGTAATCTGTGTTTAGGGTGTGGCTGTCATCTGTATGAACGCACCAAGGGTCTGTATGAATGTAGTAACTTGAAGTATCGTTTCTTCTGAACGATTAATTTGCATTCTTGTTTGTTGTATTACAGTTTTGTGTTTGTCATTTTTGCTTTGTTCAATTTTTAAATATTAAATTCATTTTGTTTGTTTAACTTCAATTGAATGGGATTTGATTGATTTGAGAGTAAATGTTCAACTGCCTTCAATGTTCCTTGGTTTCCCCACGAATATCTCGGGGCGTAGAATACACGAGCAACGAGTCAGCGAGTAAAAAGGTGAACCGAAACTCGGTTCACTTCGTTACAATTTTCTGCTCGCTTCCTAACTTTCCAACTGTGGTGGAAGTCTAGCTCTCCAGCAAAGACTCAAGTACCCTGATTTTACTTTCATGCGTGGTTTTCTCAGGTTGCTTATCAGATAACTGTCCATGCCATGTCCTCAAGCGGCCTGAGTTCTTCTTCAGCCACTTCCATCGGCACTGGTTTCAGGGAATCTGAAACAAATTTTCTCCTTGGAATCATTTCGTAAGTTCTCATACTCCAAAAAGTAGACACAGAAGATGACCATCGGCAGTTCCTATAGTGTTCTAGAACCATTAAGACCATGTGTTAATGGTGACCAATAAAAACTGTTGAGAAATGTAAGAACACTTCCTAGTCCCTACGTAGGACATTTTGTCGAAATTTCGGTGTGTGCGTGCGTGTGCATTCGTACCTATTTCAATTGGAAATGTCGTCTCTGCTTGAGGCGTCAGGTCTTGTACCTCAGCATTCTTCTTGATTCGACTTAGAATCTCTTCCGTTGACTGCTCGAGACTGACCAACTGCTCATAATTGAAGTCAGGGAAAGGGTAGCTTGAAGTGCCTTCTTCAGGAATAGAAAGCAGCACTTCTCTAGGAAGATCTTCATTTTCCTCTTTCTCTATATTACCTGTGACTCTGTCCACTTCATATGGTGTCGTGATGGGCGTGAAACTTTGACGTCTTGTTTCCTATATATTTTAGAAGTGTCAGTTAATGTACAAGACATTTCAATTCACGTGAACACACAAAAAATGCGAATTAAGTATCCGACATGCAGGTGAAGACAGAGAGGAAGAAATCTTTAAATATCTTTTGTCAAATTCTGTGAGATCCAACTTCTCTCTACTCGGCAGATATTTAGCTGAACTTCATTTCATTCCCGGTAGAGAGACCTCTTCCTTTATAAATTATATACTAAATGTGGCGGCTGAGTGGTTGGAATTTCTGCTACATATTTGAGAGTTTCTCCTTTCAAATTTTAGCCCTCAGACTTGCTATCCACACGTGTTTCTTGTGGTTGTCCTCAGTCCTTGCAGCAAAATGCCAGGATAGTTCCTTAATTATGTCACTACTGCTGCTGTTCATATACTTCTAAATGAAATATTCATTAACCATCCTCAACATTTGACACTACAAACTATGTGTTATTGAAAGCATTATTTTCAAGCCATAAATACACAAAATAGTTTCAGTTTATTGTTATTTGTGATATTTTTAATGAATCTTATGAAACATTTATTATTAACAGCTTTGTGAGATGAATGATTTAGCTTCGTTATCTGCTTTTTTGTATTTCTTTAACGCTTTACATTTATATATATGTTCCCTAGGTGGATTATTTGCGTTTATTTATATTCATTTATTTTTCTTTGTATACAATATTGTTTCTATTTTGGGTTTGCCTGTATTTGGCTGTTATATTTAATACTGTACATGTATATGTTTAGTTAATCTGTTTGTGAAATATTTTATTATTATTGTACGTATTATCAGTGTTTTCCTGATATTGGCTTCTTGCTGTTGGCAAACACTAAAATAAATCAATTGAATTGCAAATAGTTTTGTTACTCTAGGTTCAAAATTATTGTCAAACAAGAGATATCATTGACTTTATTCAAGATGTTATTATTTGTTAAGTTTATAACTCTTTGTATTGCAATTCACAGGTGTATTTAAAAGTTGACGAGTTCTTAAAATCATCGAAGTTCATGTTATTCATCCCAGCTGTATGTTGTAATTTATCCTTATTGATGAAAGAAACCTTAAAGAAGTTTGTTATCTGCCCACAAGCAACACGTTAAAACAAAAGATAATTTTTGATAAATTCTTACCAGGGTTGACTGGAAATTTTCATTTTTAGTCGCAAGTGTCCAGAGGGGACTACGTGATCCTCTCGCACCCTTCATGAAACGTGGGTTGGTTGTTAAGGTGTGTCGGACAGAATTCTTCCATGTGTTATCATTTGGTTTGTAAAACGGGAAATTTTCTCTGTAACAAAATGCATAAAACAATTCTAAATACATGTTGACACAAATTGTCGGAGGGATTTTAAAATGTTTAAAAAACAAATGATACTTTTCTGCTTCTTGCTACGGAACTGATTTTCAAGACTCGGAGACAGTCGAAACTTTCTCGGCTCTGTGATAGATATTTTCACTTAAATATCTACAGCATGAACTGAAGGTAAATCTGTGATAAGAACTCAGTAGTCATGAGACATTGCGCCAGCTGAAACCGACAACACTTAAAGAATTATTAAGAATGAAGCTTAAATAATCAGTTAAGTGATGGGAAGTGTTCTGTGATGCATGCGTGTATTTTCTAGCGTAATGCAAACTGCGTCAAAAGAGACATTTAATTTCCATCAGGCTACTTACGATATCCATTGGTAGATTCCAGATACTGTGAGTTCTCCCTTCTTCAGAATAGCTTGTTTTATCATTTCGGCGTATGTGAACGGTGGACTCGTAAGCTCAGAGTATCGATTCTCGCGGCTTACAACAGCTGAAGATAGCGTCCGAACACGCCAGGCTGAAGTCTCTGTCCTTTCAGTGCAAGACGGTGCCAAGCCGACGTCTGGGCGTTCGATTTTGCCAGCACCTTAAAACAAAGAAACGTCATTATACACTAGCTGCATATCTTGACAGTTTCTTGAGAAATGTTCATAGTTTTCCTCAGTTCTCTCTGGTAAATTCCAGTTGAATTACGCCACTACCACTTAATTCTATGCCCTTTCCTAATCATCATTGAAAAACCACCATTATCATTCTACAGCATTGACTCTTCTAAGCTACTGACAGCGTCGTTAAATAAACAACAGGTAAATACAAATAGCAACCATACCTGTCGTGTGCACTCACAGAAATGAACAAGTTACGGTAATCAGACAAAGGAAGGATATTTACGTACATCAATAGCGGAATTTTGCTAACAAACATCTGAAAAACCGAAAGAAACAACGAAGAATTTTCATACAAATACCCAGTCTGCCAGTTGAGATTCGAACACTGAACCTCAAGAGAAGTTGGAAGGAATGCCAAGCCTCTCAGAAGTAACGTTTCTACACTTCCTGTCGGAAAGTGTTTGCTCAGACGAAAGCCTTAGTATTTTACGATAAATATTAAATATTTTATTTCATGTACAACATGTGTCGGACTTCTTCCGTTATATATTATTAATAACTAATATTAATGCTGTTTCTGTCTTTGCGTAAAGAATTTGCAGAAATGTATAATGAAGTTATGAGCTGGTCCTCACTGGGTGCAATCGGAAGGCGGTAATTATTAGGCCGTCACAAAACCGGGAAATATAGGAAAATCTTATTTGAACAAAGGAGACTCTGCTCTTTAGGAAAACTTAACACAGAACGCAAAGAACAAATCGCACTCCACATACCGGAACCTGCAATTTTTTCCTCTTTTCCTCCTCCGCTTTTGTGGTCGCCCTCGACTTCAGCTGCGTTAGACGATGGGTCATTTTTAAAATTTATAAGCCACGAAAGATCATTATCACTGAAGTCACCGGTGTCATTTTTGTGTTGAAATTCTGCCACTGAATGTTGCGTCAGTGCAATGGATTCAGAAGAGTCTAAATTGGAATCTGTGCAAGTATCAGAAAGCTGCTTTAAAATACTGTCGATATCCATAAGAGAAATTTCAATTCCTCCATTTTCATTTCTGAGAGTACAAGACTCGTTGGTGTCAATGTCCTGTGTTGCCACCCATTGCAAATCTGCAGTGTTCAAAAGAAAAGTTTGTCCATTTGAAGCCACTACTTCGATTGTGGTTGGAAGGCCACAGTTTTCTGTGCTCACACAATCTTCGTTCTTCGACTTCTTCGCAAGCGTTGAATTCATTTTTTCAAATAATTTCCTTTTCGTCCCTGGGCCAGTCAGTTGATTTGCTTGAGTACTGAAGCTCGATGTATTTACCGACGTTTTGGTGATCATTATTTTCTTCAGTAACACGTTCGATCAACACAATTACTATAAAAATCTTCTGTACTTCTGAACCTTTTTTCAAGATTAAGTGACCTCGATGTCCGCCGGCAATAAACAGTTCAATCAAAATTAAAATGGTGAGAGTGGAGGGCAATATCACAAATTGCTTTATAATTCTTATGTACGATAAGTACTTGAGTAATTTTGAAATGTTTTTAACAGCACAAAATTATCTAGTTCACGAAGTACTTCATCCACAAGCGATTCACAGCTCTGTTCTTTACACACTAACAAAAGCCGATTGTTGACGGCAATATATACTATTGAAATACAACAATGCCGAGTAAACAGATTACGTAACAATTAGTTTCTTAAATAACGGAATGGAGTTCAATGCGGTTCATTCAGGCTATTATACTGCATGTATATGAAATTAATAAACAACCTTATGGCATGCTCAGCCAAGATTGTTGCAGGCGTTGGTTAGAAATTCCAATACTTTTTCTTTCATTGCTATGCACGCAGGTGTTCATATAAAAGCTGAACATTGTCTCATCCGCCGCGGCCAAAGAGTCGGGCGAACGACCCACTGGCCAGTCCGGTGGGCGCCAACCCGGCTCTGCCGGGGGGGATGCTCCTGTCTCCCACAAGGCAACTCGAGCCACCGCGAGCAAGCGAAAAGCCAATGATTTGGCCAATTTCCGGAGCGGGGTTCACGCTTCTGTCCGCACCTGAGAATGTTCTCCGCGCCCAAGGCCCGGTGGATAAACCCACTGCCTCCACGGGCGAACAAGCCGCCCGACTCGAGCCGGATTTTATCCCAACTTGCGCCCTCTGCAAGATCGGCGACCACAGCTCCAGATTCCGGGGCTGCCCATTTTTCCAGGCCCTTAAGGATAAAGAGGGCAGGCTCAACCAGAAGAAGGCCACGGGTAAACCCCCCAACGCTGGTCCTGTCCGACAGCCAGCCCTCCCCAGACCCCCAAGTTATAACAATAGAAACTTTCCGGCCATGCGTGTGACCAACGCCTGGAACAGGCCACTGGTCTTCGGCACCCAAACGGGTACGCCGACGCATACACCTTTCATGCAGCCAACCAATTAATAAATAAATACACCTGTTAACTGAAAGCATCGTCTTTATCTTTATGGTATTTGGAAATGGTGGTACTTCCCCAGAAACATGGCAGAATTACACGGTATATTGGCGCAACTCAGCCAAATGTACTTTTGCAACATTTTTTAAATCACACGTAGATAAGGAATAGATACAAAATTCACGTGTGTTACCCTCGCAATGAAGTTTCTGTAAACGATGTTCATGAAGCAACATTTCATTTTCCCTTAAGGTGGCGTGATTCCCCCCACTTCCCCTAATAAAACGAAGACGCTTTCGTAACTCGAAACATGTCGCCTCAAATGGATTTATTACAAGATGCAAAGTGAAACTCCTGTGTGTTCATGGATAATAATATTTTGGATACAATGAAACGTCTTTAAAATAATTTAGTGTTAATAAGACTTCTTGAGCAGAAAATAACGAGGAGATATAATAATTCCAAATATGCCATAATACTCATCTTGGCTACTATATCACATCCCACTTTTCTTCATTAGGCTTCCTCGGCTGGGTTTCTTAGTCAAATTTTTTTTACGTTTCTCCTCCATTAATTTGTCCCTGTGTTTGTAGGCGTAATCTTTTGAATTCGGTAGGTTCTTCACGACACAAATCGACATCCCGAATCTATAAACATTACTTTCTGTCGCCTGGTACCTGCAATTTGAGATATCAAAAGTGAAAACAAACCCTTTTTCATCATTCATCAGTATTTTCTACACCCAAGACAATTTTTATCACATTTCGCGGACACAGTTACAGAAAATATGTAGCTACATAAGATGAGGTAACTCATGACGAAATGCGTCTTCTACCACAAATAATTTACTTAATATAAATTTAAAAGAAATGTAATTTGAATGTCAGTGCAATTATTTAAAGAAATTAACCATTTCCTTAAAAAATTATATAATTTTCTTTTGAGCTTCTAAACTGAAATGTGTTGATGTAAGAAAGTCCATGCCTGATTGCTGGCTCTCTCTTTGGGTAGAGTGGAAAACTGCTCGAAGCTGAAGGCACAGGCTTCCACCAAAATATCTTTGCTTATATTTTGTTTCCGACAACCTTAAAAAAATTCCCCCAAATCGGAATTCAGTGCACGATTTCCACGTAATATTTCTTTTACTCATATACACAAAGAACACCGGCCAACATGCTATTATAACATAATACATTTTATTACATCAAAATGGAGGGAGAGGTTATGACTATTTTAAAACGCTGACAAATGATTTGTGTTCTGCGGTAGATATGTTTGCTATACTTCATTAAGCCATTACCCTCGGTCAGAATAACACTTCAATCAAACATTCTTTGGAGAGAGACGTGTGTTTTGGTTGAGAATTGCGCCCATAATAATATTTCCCTTTTTTAGCAATTTGATTTAAACATTTATTTGTTGTTTTTTGTCCTGCCAACAATAATTCTAGAGAGGTTCTGTTGAAAGTAAATCCAAAACAAATGAATTTCTGTGAGATTTCTAGCTCTTGCACAGAGGAGTATGAAGAATGCTATCTTCTGGGATGTTTGTGGGGCTGCTTACTGACTCCATCATCAGATGGCACAAAACTGCATTGAGAAACACGCCAAGAGACAGCCATTTACAAACAAACTTCCATCCAAAGAAGGGAACGTGAGACGGATAGGCCTAACACTTTGATGAAAGCCGATGATAATGGCGATGCTGAGGTGCTGAACGCCAGAAACTTCCTCCCCAAGAGATTAACCTCGATCAAAGAAACTTACCCTAAGAGCCCTTATTAATGCAGTTACAGTTGACGTCTGATTAGCATTACCTAGTCATTTGCTCTCTGCTTTAACGATTCAACTTGACCGCAACATTGCCCTGCCTGCTTTCATTCAACCCCCCACCCCCCAACTCATTTTTCCCACGCCACATTCAATGCCCTGAGTAAGCAGTTAGAACCTCTGAAACGTCGGTCAGTTTCTACGATACTACATGGTGCAGCATCCATAAGATCTCGGTCATCTTGACCGGAACTGATTCACTTCCTAGTGCTTTTCAAAAGTAACAGTTTGTTACGATACAGTGCAGAACAAAGAAACAAACCATTCATTTTTCTTGTCATTGAAACATCTGGCACTGAAGTTGGTGTCCACGTCTTGACCTTCACCGATGACAAAGATCATATCGTCGATCACTTCTGCTTCTGAGTAGCCACGTGAGCCGCACTTATCAGTCATCTCGGTCCACGTGTTTTTTGCTGCGTCATACTTTTCGGTACTGAGCTTGACTTGACCATTATAATATCCTCCTGCACATACACATATTCTGTATTAAGTCACAGTATATAAAGAAAGCTGATAAACGGAACTTATTCTAACACCATTTATTACTCTCTCACCTGACCACAAATTGTGTAGTTTTATTCACAAAAGTCGGTAGTTGAAACCTTCTCACAATAATGTAGTTACTCAAAAATCTTTTAATATTATTCTTCCCTTCATGTCTATATATATCATAACTGTCATCTTCCTATCAAGATTACTAATTAGAACTTTCTAGACTCATACAATTCTCGTACCTTCCGTGCTTCACACTCCGTCCTTCATAAACAACGGATTTTACGCTCTTAAAATTTGTAATTAATTAAACGTAAGGAATGGATGAAATACAGAAAAGAAAATTCATTCCCTTTTGCAGTGTTAGTATTAGTACCAGGAACGAAGTTAAGGATCAAATAGCTGCAATATTATTTTCGTACTTCTAGCTCGATTAGTGAACAAGGGAATCTATGAAGCATTTACTTTAATGCTGGAGTTTATTTACGGTACAGTAGAAACAGAATTGTTCTAAAGTACAGCGTCCCAAAATTCGCACCAACAGAAGTTTAACGAAACGTCTATTTTACATATTAGATCATAATTAATATTAAGGTTATAATTACGCAGATGAAACTTATGATTAAAGCGCCCTGAACCCTGATGTAAACACAACGTAACCAGTCTCACTACATTCGTAGGCACTCTGTGTAGAGAGACGCCATTAATTTTCCCAGTAGGAACAGGAAATTGCACCTGACATCTGTTTTCTGCTTCATGAAATTGCGTACGAAAATGGAGTTCATCAATTAACACAAGCTGCACTGTTTAAAACGGCATTAAACAAACAATTGACGAAAAGCAAAGAGTATGAAGAAGCCGGTTTAAACCACCATCTTGTTGTGGATAAGAGCACGGACATAGTAAATGTTATTGCCACAAGAACAAAATATTATTTTTATTATTATTTTTATTTTTAAAATCTGGACTTTGTGACAAATGGGGCATAAGTTAGTTGAGATCCCACAAGAGATTATCTGTTGTTAGTTAGTTTTCTTTGTTGATAATATATTCGAAACCATGAATCGGGGTTAAGAAAATACTGACAAACTTACCGTACTGTTCATAAAGTCTGAAGCACTCAAAGAAAACTAGGAAAACATTGCACAATAATAAGTTCTATAAGTAGGATAGAGGAACATCACTCAGGATATCTAGAAATCTTACCTAGGACGTACAGACTGTCATGGAAGACGGCGCAAGAATGACCTACACGTCCAGAATGCAATTTTGCAACGAGCGTCCATTGGTTGGTGACTGGGTCATACACTTCCACCGTGTTCAAATAATTATAAAATTTAGAATATCCACCAGTGACGTATATTTTGTCTGTAAAAACAAATTACATGTGTGACACAATCTGTATACAGGTTTGACGTAGGCAGAGGCATTACACTGCTCCATGCAGAGCACAAACATGGGAAAATATGTACTTAAATTCGTAAATCTATTAATGATATTGTATTTAATGTCCCCCTTCGTGTCATAGCAACTGTACGGACACGGCTGTCTCTATTCATTTGTTTCTTTGTTTTCAATTATATGCATTTCAATGAATGGAGACAATTAGCGTGTCAAAGGAAATGAGTTTAATGGATGAAAACAAACTGATATAATTTAATGTAAACAGTATAAAGTGTTTAAAATATTGCATAATGGAAATGATTATACAACATATCTTCTGTAAAACGAATTGTATTAAATTCGGTACCAGATAACTACGGTACAAGCTGCTAAGCGGTGCTCAACATTTTTAACATAATGTGCTATAGTCATCAGATTATTAACTGTCTCAAAAACATCATACATCTGTAGTACAAGAAAGGCAGAAGATGATGTACAGGGACAGCTTACAAGAGCAAAGGAAACCATCACGCACTCAGAACGTCAAGTCGTTGGAGTCTGTGAAATAACGTAGTACATAGCACGGATGAAAGAAATGGATAGTAAGAGAAAATGGGACAATGGGAAACTAAGTTCAAGAGCGAAGAGAGAAAATATAGAGAATATTATGACATATGATTATTACGAAATAAATCACGCCTCTCATTTTTAAAGGGTTATTTCTACTAGTTTACAGATGTTT